TTGAATGCCAACAATGAGGGCATCAACAGGACTATGGAATCGATTATCCATAACGAGGGTAAGAATTGGTTGATCAATTCCTTTGCGGAACAGAGAAGTAATTTTGATCTGAACCATTACTATATGAATATAGTGTGCAAGAGGATTCTACTGTCACCATCGAGCAACCTTGTCGTTGTTGAGGATATTGAATCCATGCTTGCCACTAGAGGTGTAATCGATAGTGGTATCACCGCTGAATTGTTCAAGGATCCTTTTTGAAAAGATGGAGAATTTGGAAGTTTTGTAGACTTCTTCTTTTTTCAGCTTCTGGAGTTTAGCGAACTGAATGAGTTGTTCGTTCGTATACTGGACTTCTTCACCAACAATACTGCTTAATTTAATGTGAGAGGTTTCGTCATCTTGAGGAGAAGTAAACTGCATCACATGGATGTCTTCATCGCTATCATCACTTGATTATGAGAATTGACTTGAAATTTCATATAAAATATCGTCAGAACCAGAGAGGTCGCTGCTATAAATGACACAGAGATCTTCTGCGTTAAGGCATTTGATCATTTTAGATGCACTTTTACTTTTATTGGGGAAATATGGCCAGGTTCATTACAAATATAGCATTTGCAATCTTTTTTGATCTCCGGAGTCTTTTTCCCATTGCGTTTACTTCGGTTAGAAGTAGTAGGGTACGAAGAAGATGGTTTAACATACTTCTTCGATTTTTGGATAGGTTTTTTACCTTTCTTCCATTTTCGCCATTTGAATTGTTTCTTCTTCTTGGACGACAACGTGCAGAATACACAACAAAATATAAAAGCTGAGAAAGTTTTACAAGAGAGAGAGAATGCAAGCCAGAGAAAATATAAATACTTCAGATGCCGAAACCATCGCGGAGTTTCGGTTTAAATAGCGTTACAAAAGAAAACAATCCACGAGAAGATAAGAAGGAATCTTTCTTTATACTGTTCCTTTAAAGTGGATGTCGGCAACTTTCACTGTTGATGAATAGTTTGTCGGCTACTTTCACTGTTGAAGAATAGTAAAAGTGACAGCTCTTCTTATCGTGTGCTGGATGAACTGCAGTCGATTAGAGAGAAGAGTGACAGGTTATCCTTCCATTGCATCGATTATATTATCGGGTTCATTTTCACCAAGTGGAGGAGTGCTGACTAGGGACTGAGCATCAGCAATGTCCAATCCAGATTGATGTCATCAGTACCGCTGCGGACGGGTTCTAGAACGTCAATTGTATTAACCACGATTTCTTTTAGAAATTCTTTGGCGGTCAGAATGTCGTTCTCTGAATATTCAAGATAATACATAGTCAGAGTGGTAACGAAAAGTCTTCGTTCATTACAACAATAACCGATTTAATCATTGTTATCAAAAGTTTCATTTAGGATTCTTCGGGCTTTATCATGCAAGTGAATAAGACTATGCATTGCAAGGTAATACGGATCGATGCTGTTGGCGATTTCTTAATAATTGAGAAGTTAAGTATGCTCAAGATCTGCTTCTTCAGTAGTTTTAAGGAACCAAATCAGGATGGGTTGAAAGAAACGAGTTTTTTCTCGCCATCCAAGAGTACTAGAAATCCAGAAAGTTAGATTTCGACTGTATTTCCAGTGAGAAGTGACTTTATAGATCATTGCTTTGATCATTGCAGGAAATGCAATCCAGGAATGACAGTCATGAGATAAGAAAGTAACTTTGTTAATTACTCCCCAATCGACAGGTTCCATTGACCAGGGAAAACCGGGGAACAATAAAAAGAGTCATTTTTGGGATTGTTTTCCCGTTATAGATCATGTCGAAAGTATTAATTTCTTCATGATTTGAGAAGTAAAATTTTTTTTTATTGTAGCAGAATGATCCACTGTTTTTGCAACGATTATTCGAAAAAGTTCAGGAGGAAAAATGTTCCTTGCTTTTTCAATGAGACATATACGATTGATTTTAGCAAACGTATTTTGTGGAAAATCAAGTTCTCCAACTAACTGGGCAAGTTTAAGAAAACAATTTATTTATGATAAAGAAAAATCTTTTTCCCAGTCAATGGTGAGACAGATTTGAATGCAAAGCTTTTTAAGCTCATCTGTCATAGCTGTTTGTTCTGGTACAAGAGAAGTAAGAGTACTCAGGTGTTGCCTGAATTTCTTATTAGCACCAATTTTGTGAAATTTCCAAACATTATTAATTTCATTATAAAAATTGTTTGGAAGACCGGGATTATAGAAGTCTTTTACCTCTACTTGCTCCTGGAGTTGAGAAAACATTTTTTGTGAGGCTTTACCCACGTTATAGAAGACGTTTTGGGCTTCTAGAAGTGTGTCATAAGCCTTGAAACATGAGCCAGAAAATGATCGCAACTGTTTGTGACAGTCGTTCCATTTCGAATAGATTCCTGGTTGGTGACCAGCAAAAACCACAAACCAATTGTTAAGCTGTGATGTAGTTGGTTTACCGATTGCTTTTTTTAGCATTTGTAATCCAACCGTCTTTATTAGGAAGAGGCTTTTTACCTTGATCACTCATCGGTAGTCAAAGAAATATCTTGGTTAGATACTTCATTATAATTCCTACTTTAGAAATCTGCAAGAAAATTATTAGTGCCTTTAATATGTTCAATAGCAAAGGAATACTGAGCAATAACATTATACCATTTTAATAGTCGTCCTTCTAAATAATTCCTTTTGTTTATTAGGAAATCTTTAACTGCTTGATTATCAGTTCGAATAATAAAATCTTCTGGAACAAGATAAATATGAATTCGTTTTATTGCTAATTTAATTGCCAGAAGTTCTTTCTCATAAATAATATAATTCTGTTCATTGGGTTTAAATTTGCCAGAATTTTAGCCACAAATCAATTCTTCTTTTTGAAGCTTTTTTAGGATAGGAGTTTTGCGTGCTCGTATCTGATGATTTGGGAAAATAGCTTCATCCCACTTGTCCTGTGGAATGGCTTTTAACACAGATCCCCAGCAAAAGGCGAAGGCATCAGTTTCAAGAATAAGTTTATCACCATTTTGGGGAAAATAAACTTTAGGGATACGGACCAAATCTCGTTTGATTTGTTGGACAACTATGGTGTCGTTATCCGTCCAGTCAAACACTGTATTTTTCTGTAGCTTCTTTATTAAAGGGAGCTCTTTTTGAGATAAGTCTTTAATAAAGTTCCGGCTATAATTCAAGATTCCTAAAAAGCTCTGTAGCTACTTTTTATCTTGAATAACATCTGGAAAGTCACGGATTTTAATAATAATATGGTCCTGTAGTTTTATACCTTTGTGGGTTAAAACTAGGCCAAGGAAATCTATAGATTCCTGTTCAACATCTATCTTTGTTGGAGATAGAATGATTCCATGGTTTTTCAGTTTTTCTGAAAGACATTGGAGATGTTTTTTTAATTCATCTCTTGTTTTATAGAAGACAAGAATATCATCGATGTATACAACAACAAAGTCTTTAAGGTTATTAAAGATCTTGTCCATTCATCTTTGATATATCTGAGGTACAGTATTGAGACCGAATGACATTACAGTCCACTGATAATGACCTCTTGGTGTGCTGAAAGCAATTAATGGCTTAGATTTTTTTCGTAATTTTATTTGCCAAAACACTGCTTTACAATCAAACTTGCTGAAGATTTTTGCTCCGCGAGTTTGATTAATGAGAACATCTTTTCGAGGAATAAAATATCCTTCAAAAAGTACATGTTCATTAAGCCGTTTATAGTTGATTACCATACGGGCTTTTCCTCTTTTTACCTCATTATGGTTTCGTACCATCTTAAAGTTTATCATCAAATTCGTCTATATCTTTGCGGAGATATATCATTGGTTTTACATGAATGATGACGTGACCGTCTTTGTGTTTTAATCTGCAAAAACGAGGACTTCGACTCCACAGATTTAAAGGATTGTCAGAGAAATTTTGTCTTAAAATAGAATATGACCAGTGAGATTCATTTAAAACAAAAAGTTCATTAGTTTCCCTTTTTGGGGAGAAAATTTTTCATTACAAACAGAAGCTAAATTTTCTTGAATCAAAATTTTAAAAATTGTTTTGTCTTTTAAAGTTAAAGAAATTGTTTTTCCGTTTAACAGTAAAGGTTAATAACAGTAAATAAAGTTACATCCTTGGATAAAATCACCATACATATATGGAAAACAGAGTAATTTTGGTATGATAATTTTTTTGTCATTTAACCAGATAGCAACATCTTTTGATTTAAATTGAATGACATTCATGGGAAGTTTAACATCAATACCTTGAACACCATTGGGACGTTTCATTTGTCGCCATTTTTCAGATGGGATGGCGTTGTAACGACAACAACTTGTTGTTGCTCCATTGTTGATAAGTACACAAAGGCTATATGGTTTATAACCTTTGAAGTTAAGGATACCATTAACATAGGTATACTTTCGCTTTTTTCCTTGAGAAGGTGCAGTAAGGATTTCATCATTTCCATGTCTGAAATGAAAAAGTCTTGCGGATTTCATGGATTGGATAGAGCCAGGAAGGAAAGGTGCATCAATGGGAGCTTTTCCTTTCTCGACCAAAGTAAACCTTTGACATAGAGGTAGCATGTCGGAGGTCTGAGCATTAGAAATTCTTAGGGGAAGTAATTTTATCCCATCCAGATGGACTGCTAGATATTCGTACTGAAGCTGATCGTTGCAGCTGTGGTTTCTCTTTATTGGTTATATAAAGATTGGAACAAGAGGCTTGAATAGTGGTAATGGTAGGCTCAGCTATGCGCAATTTTGGTTCCGAGTTGATGTCTTTGAAAAACCAGTTGCGAGGAATTTCCAGATCTGTCCATTTCAGTAATTTTAGTTCAATTACTGAGTCAAAGGGACGAGGTTCAAACAAAGTGACTAATTTTGAGTCAATTGTAGGAATGGTGGCAGTCTCGGGTTCACGAGTTAGCTCATAAAGAACTTTCCACTGTATCCCTAGACTTGGAGAATCAAAATCCATTTTGAGATTAGAAAGTTAAAGTTTTACTTGGAGAACTCTCTCAATGTTGGGGTCAGAAAGATAAACAAAATAATTTGGTTTGATTTTAAACCAAATTACGTTATTAACAAGATTGGATTGAACGCCACCAATGAGGGCATCAATAGGATTATGGAATCGATTATCCATAACGAGGGTAGGAATGGGTTGATCAGTTCCTTTGCGGAACAGAGAAGTAATTTTGATCTGAACCATTCCTATATAAATGTAGCGTGCAAAAGGATTCTGCTGTCGCCATCGAGCAACCTTGTCGTTGTTGAGGATATTGAATCCATACTTGCCACTAGAGGTGTAATCGCTAGTGGTATCACCGCTGAATTGTTCAAGGATCCTTTTTGAAAAAATGGAGAACTTGGAAGTTTTGTAGACTTCTTCTTTTTTCAGCTTCTGGAGTTTAGTGAACTGAATGAGTTGTTCGTTCGTAAACTGGACTTCTTCACCAATAATACTGCTTAATTTAATGTGAGAGGTTTCGTCATCTTGAGGAAAAGTAAACTGCATCATACGGATGTCTTCATCGCTCTCATCACTTGATTCTGAGAATTGACTTGAAATTTCATATAAAATATCGTCAGAATCAGAGAGGTCGCTGCCATAAACGACATAGAGATCTTCTACGTTAAGGCATTTGATCATTTTAGATGAACTTTTACTTGTATTGGGACAATTAGGTGCAATATGGCCAGGTTCATTACAAATATAGCATTTGCAATCTTTTTTGATCTCCGGAGTCTTTTTCCCTTTGCGTTTACTTCGGTTAGAAGGAGTGGGGGATGAAGAAGATGGTTTAACATATTTCTTAGATTTTTGGATTGGTTTTTTACCTTTCTTCCATTTTCATCATTTGAATTGTTTCTTCTTCTTGGATGAGCGGCGTGTAATGATAGAGCTACGTGGTACACAACCAACCTTCCAGGTTTCTTGAAGAATTTTGTCGCAACAATGTTGTCCAGCGGGGGTGTTGCTAATTTGATTCTTGACCTGTTTTTTGGCTTTGGTTTCTAAACATTTTTCGTTAATAAGATGATAAATGAAATTGGTACGAAAACCAAGGTTATCGGTTCATTTGATTCGAACAAGAAAGTCGGGGTAGCCTTTAATGGCTAACTCATCCCAAGGACTTGGAAGTTTATGGCAGAATTAGGGTAACCAATGTTCCATGGCATTCAGAGGAAGAAGCCTAAAATATTTGCTAAATATCTTGACGTATTCGGGAAAATAGCAGATGTCGCATAATTCGATTTTAGAAAGAGCGAAATTAGCATCGTCTAAGAGAAGTACTTCACCGGTATGGCCGACTAGTTCTTCTTTAAGGATTTTCACAAAGCCACGTAAAACACCATCAAGGTCGTCAAAATTGTTAAGAAGCTCGTCTTTTTATCATTTACCTTGACGGGTTTGATCCCATTGACGGAGCCAATCAAGAGCATCACCTTACAGGGTTGCTGCAATGTAATCGAGGAAACGATCTCTTTTCCAAATGGTTTTTTGGTTATTAATAAGAATTGCTAAAGATTGTGCCCATTCGTCAATGGTTTTGAGATGATCTTTATAGGGGACATTCGTAAGATCAAGATAAGTACCATTTTATGAAATAGGAAACTTATTGAGGTCATCCTTTCTGGTAAAGGTGGGAAAGGTCATATAATCATAATTATAGGACATAGCTGATGCAGTTGGTTTTGGTTCCGTGGTTTTAGTAGACTCAGCAGGTGTAGGTATACCGGAGGCTGGAATAGTAGTTTCTTCTGCTGGATGCATTTCTTCTGTTGGAGGAGGAAAATCACCGTAAAATGATTCATCTAAAATAGTGTCAGAAATGCATTTTTGTCAATGAGAGGAAGATGTGTAGGGCTGTGGATCAGCTTGTATTTCTTCATCAATGGATTCTGAGTCGTCAGAATTGTTGAATTCTTCGTGATCAGATTGGTCAGAGAAAACATGTATTTGTTCTTCTGATTCAGTATCACTATCGGACATATTGAAATTATATCCGAAGTGTGTAAGGAGAGCTTCATGTTGTAGAGAAGTCTCTCTTATCTGATTGATGATATGTGTGCTTTCATCAATAGATAGTTGAGGATTTATGTACATTTCTCGTAAGTAACTAAAAAAGTCGACTACGCTGTCATATTCCTCTTTATTGTAACTTGATGAGGGTTGCTCATTAAGTACTTTAATGTCTATATTACCATAGAAAAGGGGTTTTACCTTATATATGGGTTGAGTAGAAGTATACCGATTATCTTCTTTTGTGAAGGAGGAGTAGATTGTTTATTTACTTTGTCCGTTGGATCATCAGGAGGGTAAAGATCAGATAACTTTGCTTTTTTTAATTTTACTAAATCAACAGTCACTTGATGAATCTAATCTTTTAGATCCTGATTGTCAGATAGCGAGATAATCTGTGTAAGAGTATCAAGCTTATCATTCAAGGAAATCATTCCTTGTTGCAAATCATCAAATGAGGTTTCCATTTGAGAATTTGTAGATTCTAGGTTAAGTTGAAATGAGTATTTCCAAGTATACCTTCGACGTGGAGGTAGCAGGACGGAGGTCTGAGCATTAGAAATTCTTGGGGGAAGTAATTTATCCCATCCAGATGGACTGCTACATATTCGTTCTAAAGTTGATCGTTGCAACTGTGGTTTCTCTTTATTGGTTACATAAAGATTGGAACCAGAGGCTTGAATAGTCGTAACGGTAGGCTCAGCTATGCACAATTTTGGTTTCGAGTTGATGTCTTCGAATAACCAGTTGCGAGGAATTTCCAGATATGTCTATTTCAGTAATTTTGGTTCAATTACTGAGTCAAAGGGACGAGGTTCAAACAAAGTGACTAGTTTTGAGTCAATTGTAGGAATTGTGGCAGTCTCGGGTTCACGAGTAAGCTCGTAAAGAACGTTCCACTGTATCCCTAAACTAGGAGAATCAAAATCCATTTTGAGATTAGATAGTTGAAGTTTGACTTGGAGAACTTTATCAATGTTTGGGTCAGAAAAAGAAACAAAATAATTCGGTTTGATTTTAAACCAAATTACGTTATTAACAAAATTAGATTGAACGCCACCAATGAGGGCATCAACAGGATTATGGAATCGATTATCCATAACGAGGGCAAGAATGGGTTGATCAGTTCCGTTGCAGAACAGAGAAGTAATTTTGATCTGAACCATTCCTACATGAATATAGTGTGCGAGAGGATTCTGCAGTTGCCATCGAGCAACCTTATCACTGTTGAGGATAACGAATCCATGCTTGCCACTAGAGGTGTAATCAATAATGGTATCACCGCTGAATTGTTCAACGATCCTTTTTGAAAAGATGGAGAACTTGGAAGTTTTGTAGACTTCTTCTTTTTTCAGCTTCTGGAGTTTAGCGAACTGAATGAATTGTTCGTTCGTAAACTGGACTTCTTCACCAATAATACTGTTTAATTTAATGTGAGAGGTTTTGTCATCTTGAGGAGAAGTAAACTGCATCATACAGATGTCTTCATCGCTATCATCACTTGATTCTGAGAATTGACTTGAAATTTCATATAAAATATCGTCAGAATCAGAGACGTCGCTGCCATAAACGACACAGAGATCTTCTGCGTTAAGGCGTTTGATCATTTTAGATGCACTTTTACTTTTATTGGGGCAATTAGGTGCAATATGGCCAGGTTCATTACAAATATAGCATTTGCAATCTTTTTTGATCTCCGGAGTCTTTTTCCCTTTGTGTTTACTTCGGTTAGAAGTAGTGGGGGATGAAGAAGATGGTTTAAGACACTTCTTGGATTTTTGGATAGGTTTTTTACCTTTCTTCCATTTTCACCATTTGAATTGTTTCTTCTTCTTGGACGAGCGGCGTGTAGTGATAGAGCTACGTGGCGCACAACCAACCTTCCAGGTTTCTTGAAGAATTTTATCGCAACAACGCTGTCCAGTGGGGGTGTTGCTAATTTGATTCTTGACCTATTTTTTGGCTTTGGTTTCTAAACATTTTTCATTAATAAGACGATAAATGAAATTGGTACGAAAACCAAGGTTATCGGTTCATTTGATTCGAACAAGAAAGTCGGGGTAGCCTTTAATTGCTAACTCATCCCAAGGACTTGGAAGTTTATGGAAGAATTGGGGTAACCAATGTTCCATGGCATTTGGAGAAAGACGCCTAAAATATTTGCTAAATATCTTGACGTATTCGTGAAAACAGCAGATGTCGCATAATTCAATTTTAAAAAGAGCGAAATTAGCGTTGTCTGAGAGAAGTACTTCACCGGTATGGCCGACTAGTTCTTCTTTAAGGATTTTCACAAAGCCGCGTAAAACACCATCAAGGTCGTCAAAATTGTTAAGAAGCTCGTCTTTTTGTCATTTACCTTGAGGGGTTTGATCCCATTGACGGAGCCAATCAAGAGCATCACCTTGCAGGGTTACTGCAATGTAATAGAGGAAACGATCTCTTTTCCAAATGGTTTTTTGGTTATTAACAAGAATCGTTAAAGATTGTGCCCATTCGTCTATGGTTTTGAGATGATCTTTATAGGGGACATTCGTAAGATCAAGATAAGTACCATTTTGTGAAGTAAGAAACTTATTGAGGTCATCCTTTCTTGTAAAGGTGGGAAAGGTCATATAATCATAATTATAGGATGTAGCTGATGCAGCTGGTTTTGGTTCCGTGGTTTTAGAAGACTCAGCAGGTGTAGGTATACTGGAGGCTGGAATAGCAGTTTCTTCTGTTGGATGCATTTCTTCTGTTGGAGGAGGAAAATCACCGTAAAATGATTCATCTAAAATAGTGTCAGAAACGCGCTTTCGTCGATGAGAGCAAGATGTGTAGGGCTATGGATCAGCTTGTATTTCTTCATCAATGGATTCTGAGTCGTTAGAATTGTTGAATTCTTCGTGATCAGATTGGTCAGAGAAAACATGTATTTGTTCTTCTGATTCAGTATCACTATCGGACATATTGAAATTATATCCGAAGTGTGTAAGGAGAGCTTCATTTTGTAGAAAAGTCTCTCTTATCTGATTGATGATATGTGTGCTTTCATTAATAGATAGTTGAGGATTTATGTACATTTCTCATAGGCAACTCAAAAAGTCGACGATGCTGTCATATTCCTCTTTATTGTAACTTGATAAGGGTTGCTCATTAAGTACTTTAATGTCTATATTACCATAGAAAAGGGGTTTTACCTTATATATGGGTTGAGTAGAAGTATACCGGTTATCTTCTTTTGTGAATGAGGAGTAGATTGTTTATTTACTTTGTCCATTGGATCATCAGGAGGGTAAAGATCAGATAACTTTGCTTTTTTTAATTTTGCTAAATCAACAGTCATCTGATGAATCTAATCTTTTAGATCCTGATTGTCAGATAGCGAGATAATCTATGTAAGAGTATCAAGCTTATCATTCAAGGAAATCATTCCTTGTTGCAAATCATCAAATGAGGTTTCCATTTGAGAATTTGTAGATTCTAGGTTAGGATGAAATGAGTATTTCCAATCATTAACCATGTCGATTAAAAAGTTCATTCCTACGCCAAGTTGGCTAAAATTGGGCGGATCTGAAGTTAAATAGTGTGGTATATGACTATAGTTATTGGGGTCTTTTCCTACGATATTACATATACATCCG